ATTGAGGGGCGTAGGGAAAACAGGACTCATCAAAGGTGACGTGACGGGAGATGATGATTTTATGGGTGGTTAGGTCCAGGCAGCGAAAGCCACGCTGGGCTTCTGGGTAACCAAGAAAAATGCATCGAGCAGAGCGTGGAGCGAGTTTGTGAGGGGCAGTAGTAGAGAGGTTAGGGTAACAAAGACATCCGAAGACGCGAAGATGTGAATAGGATGGGGGGTGCGATAAAGAACCTCATGAGGAGTGCGATTGTTGAGGGTGGTGGTGGGGAGAATATTGAAGAGGTGAGTAGCCATATGTAGAGCTTCTACCCAGAAGTGAGGAGGGAGGTTAGCTTGAAAGAGAAGGGTGCGGACAGTGTTGTTTAGTGTGCCGATGGTGCGTTCTGCGCTGCCGTTCTGTTGGCTCGTGTAGGGGCAAGAAAAACGAAAAAGAATTCCTAGAGCTTCAAAAAATGTAGCAAGAGGGTTATTTCTATATTCAGCGCCATTGTCACATTGAACAGATTTTATGGTTGTGTTAAATTGATTTTTAACTAAAGCATGGAATTTTACAATATGAGAGTAAGCATCAGATTTGTGGTGGAGGGGAAAAATCCATAAATAATGAGAAAAATCATCTAATAAAAACATGTAAAATTTAAAGCCAGTTATACTAGGAACAGGAGATTGCCATAAATCAGTGTGCATTAATTGAAAAGGAAAAGTTGAAATACGACTAGAAGACTGAAAAGGAAGGCGTACATGTTTGCCTAGTTGACATGCATGACATAAAAAATCTAATTTTGATTTAGAAAAACTAGCTAAAGAAGATGACACGCCATGGAGAACAGCGGGGCTGGGATGTCCAAGCCGTCGATGCCAGGTGGATTGATCGACTCGGGCAAGGTTGAGGTGTGCGTTGGAGGGCGCTTGGGAGATAGGGTAGAGGGGTCCGTCACTATTGGATCGATGAATCACGGCTCCCGTCAATTTGTCCTTAACAGAGAAACCACAAGAGTCAAATTCAATGGTGCAATTATTGTCACGAGCAAATTGACGAACAGATATGAGATTATGGATAATGTGTGGGGAGATTAAACCATTGTTCAGGGTGAGGGGAGGGGATGTGGGAAGGGTGCCCTTACCAAAACTAGTAGTGCTCACTTTAGAACCATTGCCGATAATAATATGCGAAGGAGAATTAATGCTTGAAGTAAATACATGAGATAAAGTACCTGGGTCAGAAGTGATGTGATGGGAAGCTCCGGTATCCATGAACCAGTGGGGTTGGGTGGGGGTGAGGGTGAGGTTTTCGAG